TACATTAAAGAGGGGAAAAAAAAAAAAAGGAAAGAAGGTGAAGGATTCAGAGTCGAATAAAGTTACCTGTAACTTTTCTTTTCTCTCTCTTGCAGGGCAGCTGACATGCTTTCACCCTGGTAGGATTTCTTTCTTTTTATAAACCTCCACCAGCCCAAAGGCAGTGATGCAGCGGAAACTGGCCAAGACCTAGTGGCAGGAGGCCTCAGTTCTGATCACAGCCCTGCCTGTCAGTAGCTGGGTGACCCTGAGCAAGCCACCCAGCCTCTCTGAGCCCGGGGAATAATGACACCTGCCTTGAAGTTATGGGAAGATTAAAGTCCTGGCAGTGCTTAAGCCAGTATCTGACACATGATATGTGATCAATGAATGGCAAGGTTGAAACAAAAATCTTTTCCCAGCTGATTTCGTGGGGCTCTTAGTCTAGGTGAATACAAGCAAAAGGCTATTTAGTCCCTGTGACCAAGAAGCCTGCGATCTCCTTGAGACGGTGGGGTGGGAACGTTTCCCATTTGTTGGTTTAGGTGATGCGTGGTCAGATCCTAAACACTCCAATGCAGAAATAAACTAGGAAGGCGGATGAAAAACACAGGGCATCAATGTACACGGAGAGAACCCCCCGGGACGGCAGGTGTGTCTGAATTTGAACTCTTGCCCTGGGTGCTAGTCAGGGTTCTCGAGAGAAACCGAGCCAATAGGGTACACACAGATAATCGAGAGGGGGTTGTCCTGGGAATTTGCCCACGCCGTCACGGAGGCAGGGAAGTCCCACTATGCACTATCTACAAGCTGGAGGACCAGTGCTGTGCGTCTGTCCAAGCACAGAGGCCCTGGAACCTGGAGTTCCCATGCCCCAGGGCAGAAGAAGAAGGATGCCCCAGATCCAGATGAGACAGTGCCTTTGCCCTTCCTCTGTCTTTTTGTTCCATCCTGGCGCTGGGTAGATGAGAGGATGCCTGCCCACACTGGGGAGGGCAGATTTTCTTTACTCGATCTACCTATTCAAAGGCTTATCTCCTCTGGGAACACCTTCGACAGACACACACAGCAATAATGTTTACCAGTTACCCGGGTCTCCCTCAACCCAGCCAAGTTGACATAAAAATTAACCAATCACGCACTGTGACTTTGGCCAAGTCACCCTGCTTTTCTGAGCCTTAGTGTTCTCATCTGTGGAATGGGTACAGCGGGCGTTCACAGCTCACAAAATCATCATGAGGGTCAGCTGAGATAACTAACAGATGTAGATTACTGAGAAGAGTCTATGTCGCTACACCTGTCCATAGGACGGATGAAAGCGTATGTAAAATTACAGAAATGTGAGGGTTACCATTAACAGGGCAGTTTAGTGCAGGGATTATGGGAGAGGAAGTCAGAGTCAGAAAGCCTGGATTCAAAGCCCGTCCCCCCAACTTCCCTGTGAGGAATCTCAGATAAGTGACTTAATTCAAGTGACTAAGCTTCAGTTTCCACTTCTGTGGAATGGGCACAATAACATTCATTCCTATTCCTGTCCCCGGGGAGAGTAGTGAGGATTAAATGAGGCCTTATGTATAAAAGCACTCTGCACAAAGCCTGGCTCGGAACAAGTGTGCAATAAACGTTTGCTGCTCGTCTTATTAATAATCAGAGTAGCTGCTACCCCTGGTGTTTGCTGGTCATAACAGAAAGCTCTGACCTCAAACCCCAGCTGTGTCTTTTTTACTTACTGTGTGACCTTGGGCAAATCCCTTCCTCTCTGAGCCTCGGTTTCCTCATCAGCCAAATGGGAGTGAAAACTCCTACCTTGCAGCACTCGTGTGAGGGGGCGGTGCGTGCCTGGCACATAGAACGCACCGTATAAAAATCCGTGAACACGCCTGCATGATTTCAGGGCTCTGGGCCTCACTGTGCTCCTTGGTAAAACATGGATGTTGCACGTCCTTCCAGGGCGACAGTGCGGGTGGAGACAGACATCATGTGAAGCTCTGGCACAAGTCTCCGCGGGCAGCCGCCTCTCCCGTCAGCCGGATACATATGGGAGAGCCACCCGGCCCCAATTAGCTTTCACGCGTCCAGGGCCTGAGTTCAGGAGACGCTGCCCCCAGAGCCTGGGAGGAGAGTTATGAAGCTTGTATATGAAGGTCGTTAACCTGGGCACCCACAGGGTCCGTGTGGTCTGCAGTGTGTTGGGGGGGGGGATGCGCACACGCGTGCTTGTGTGTGTGTGTGTGTGTGTGTGTGTGTGTGTGTGTGTGTGTGTGTAAAGAGAGAAACAGAGACAGAGGCTCATTAAGTCAAATTTACACAGGCTCTCCAGGCGGGCAGCAGCTCTGCCCCGGGGTTCATAAATCGCCCTCAGACACTGGCCTCACCAGCTGCCCATGAAAAGATGGAGCATCGTGCAGATGCACAAGGCAAGATCACCCGGCCTGGGCTCCAGATTCTTACCTGGAGAGCCACACAGGGAGCCAAAAGAGGTAGGAGGGTTCAGCATGGGCACTGAGACCCGTGAGAAGGTCCTCTCCCCTGCCCAGCGCAACAGGCCACGCTCAGCCCCACACCCACACCACTGCCCCCACTGTTCCCCGGCTGGGGACACCCTCCCCTTCTCTGCATACCCACCCTGTACCCTGGGGCCACCCAACCTCCAGAAATTCTACTTCTTCCGGGAAGTCTTTATTGAACACTAGCAATTATCACATGTATTCTCTTTTGAACTTATCACATAAAGTCAAGCATTGCTTAACGATGGGGATACGGTCTGGGAAATGCGTCCATAGGCAATTCTGTCTTTGTGCGAACATCACAAAGTGTGCGTACAGGAGCCTAGATGGTAGCCTAGTGCGCACCTAGACTGTGGTGCAGCCTACTGCTCGTGGGCTACAAGCCTGCACAGCAGGTTGCTGTACTGAATGCTGCAGGCGACTGTAATGCAACAGTAAGTGTTGGTGTAGTTAAGCATATCTAAACATAGAGAAGGTACAGTAGAAACGTGGTATTATAATCCTATGGGACCACTGTATATGGGGTCCATTGTTGACCAAAATGCTGTTAGCAGCACATGACTGTGTATTCTCTCTCCTGTGCCCTGCAGTAATGCTCCCATGGGGATTGAATCACCCCCATTTTAACAACAAAAACCAAAGTTTCTCAGCTGCTCGTCTCACAAGGGGATGGTCTCCTGCCTTTTCTGCCACATTGTGGCTGTCCCATTTGTGCTACCATTTCTTTCTCCTTTGAATTCAGTTTGCATTTGCAATATAATTCCTATCACCCAGCACTTGATTCAACCTCAGCCAGGATTGTTCCCCAACGATTTGGCGGGCGTGGGCATGTCGAGAGTGAGGACCGTGGCCTCTCCCGCACGCGTCCCTCCCCCAGGCCACCAGCTCGGTGCTGAACGTGCCAGTTGCAGGCAGCAGCTGGGTCGGTCTGCCCAGCACTGTTTCCTCCTCCTTCCAAGGGGCTGATCCTCTCTCACGTGGGGCAAATGGCTGGGGTTGGGCGATGTCATTCCGAGTACCCGGAAGCTCATGCCCGGGAAGATACAGACAATGGCTCAAGACAAGCCAATTAGACTCTTTTTCCAGATTGTTTGATTGGAACCTTTGCATGCTGAGCTGAACCTGGGAGAACTCACGTCTCTCCACATCATCCTTTCTTAGGACTCGCTGACAAGCTATTCCCCAGCGCCCCCTTGCACCTCGAGGGGCCAAAGGTCTATTCCTCACTAATAGAATGTGAACAGAAGCAGTGTGGGTGTCACCATCTGGCCCAGGCAGGAGAGAGTGGCTGTGTCTTCACCTTTATCTATTTCTGCAGGTAGATGGAGAGAAGTCCACGGACCTGGAGAAGAACAGCCACAAGACGGAAGCCCCCTGGGTTCCCGGATGGCTGTGTGGAACAAAGCCACCCCCGTCCCATATCGAATGGTGGCATGAACAAGAAATAAGCTTTGATTCAGTAGCACCGAGCTACTGAAATGCCAGGGTTTTTTCAATAGTGAGCTTACCCAGACCAGTAAAATGTACACACACACAGTCTTTGTCTGTCTGATGCTTACATAGAGAGGAACCAGACAGATATGTGAGGGCCAGTTAATAGAAGGCTTCATTTGCCAGTGTTTGTCAGCGTTTGTAGAGCCAGTAAAGAATTTCCAGGAGGAGGAGTGATTTTTTTAGAAGGAAGGAAATGGTTTAAAATGGTAATAACTATACATTGAACGCTCCAGTGTACCAGTTACTATATCCCGGCACTTCATCAACACTGTCTCATTTCATCTGCCCAAAAATCACATTTCCCATTTTACAGATGAGGAAGCTAGTCCCCCTGGCACTCAACAGTGCAGCAGGAGAACCAGCGTCAGACCCACCTCTGCCTGTCTCTGAAGCTCCAGCTATTTTTATTAAACCACATCACCTATTAAGATTAGTTTGGCCCAATGTATTTTCATATAGTTTTATTTTTAATTTTTTCAGCAGTGGCTATATATTACTTTTACAATAGCAAAATGCACACTTAAAAACACACCAAAGCAATATAAATAAAACTTAATCTGGCCACAGAAGAGGAAGCAGAATTCGAGAGCCCGGTTACCACGGGGCTTGTCCTTTCAGCTTAATCCTTGAAAGAAAAAGCTCTCCTGAACATATAAATGATCGTCCGGCTGAGGGAAAGTGACAGCAGCTTGTATCGCAATTTCCAGTCATTCCAGGAAAATGAAGATCTCATGCAAGCCTTGTAATTGCCAATTTGTAAACAGTGTCTGCGTAAACTCTGATTCCCATCCCTTGTTAATCAGGTTGGGTTTGGATAACCAAGTTAGGTTCCTTCTCGCGTTTTCTGCGAGGAGCCCTCTGTTCTGCTACCCACGGCCTCTTCCCCCAGCCCCTCGGTTTCTTCCCTGCGTCTGTTTATGTCTTCCTGGTTTTCAATTTCTTAATGATGTTTTAACGAGATGCCAGTTACACATGCAAATTGGAAAGAGGCGACATTGAAAGATTGCTACCTGGTGGTAAATTTATTAAAATCAAGGCGGTTTTAATAACTTCCTTGCATATGCATCCGCCTCCTTGTCTGTAATATTAGTTTTGGGGTTTTTTTTTAACCTTCTTATTAGAACAAGTGTGTTAGGAAAGTAGAAGGTGAAGTCATGGGAAGGAATCTAATTGCTCCTTGAGTGTCAGTCGTGTTCCCTCAAAACTGACTGTACTTTTCTGGCTTGATCTTCCTGCTTCTTGCAACCACTTCCTTTGATCTTCATTATCATTTCTTCATGGCTACTGTTTGTTAAGCACCTAACTCAACGTCTCCTAGGCATAAAATGACAGAAACAGACTTCAAATTCAAATCACTCAGGATCTAAGGCTCCTACTCTACTCCTCCCCCTTTCTAAACTTGTCTTTTCCTCTGCCTTTCCTGATCCCACGACCTCCTGCTTTTCTTTCATCTACTGTCTACGTTTTCTCTGTCTCCTTTGCAGAACATTTTTCCTCTTCTCATTCTTATTCCTTCTTATTCTGCCTTCTGCCGCCTTCTGTTCTTTTTCAATAACGTCATTTCCATTTCTCACCCTGGCCACCTTCATCCATTACCATGATTCCAACCACTACTGTCTGTTGACAGCTTCTACATCAATCTCTCCTGAGGTTTGGGCTCAACGCATCCAGCCACCCACCAGCCATCTCCACTGGGTGACACACAAGATCCACACAAACCCAGAACCAAGCTCATCAACTTCTCCCCAAATCTCCCCCATCCTGTGTTTGCCACTTAAAGAAATGGCGCAGATCAGAAACCCAAGCTCTTGCCACTCCTGATGTTGGCTACCACGAGAAGGAGGCCCAGTAGTATAACTGTCCAGCCTCTCTCCACCCACCACTCACTCCTGCCTTGGGGGACAAGGGGTATGAGTGGCCCAGACTCCTCTCTCCTTTCTCTTGGAAGCAAGATGCCTCCAGGGACAAAGTGCTGCATCCTTCACAGCAAGGTAGAGAGGGTTTCCTGATTCTAAAGTTCCATATCAGGAAGCACACTTACCTGAGACACGAGCCACATTCTCCTGCCTCTGCTTTAGCAGTAATAAAGTGGTATTTTTGGTTCTATGTTGTTTACCCCTTGCTCTGTTTCCCAATGGGTTCAAAACTGGGGCTTGAGGAAGGTGCTAGTTACTGAGGCTATTCAAACCCCCCAAAGCAGGCAGTTACCCCAAACCTCCCTCACCTCCTATCAAATGCATCAGTCCCATTGAGTTGAACTTGGGAATAGTCTGAGTCCTCCCCTTCCTCTCCACCTCAATCATGGATGCCTGGTCTGGACTTCCCATCGCTCACCTGGGTTATCCCAGCTGGTCCCTCTCCTTCCCAAGCTCCCCCTCCACACTGCCCAGAGCCACCTTCCGAGGCAGAGCTGTGGACGTGGCTACTCATTGTCTAAGGTGAGCCCCCACTCCCGATGGTGGCTTATAAGAGATTTGAAGACAGGGGAGCATGTTTGGGGACAGACGGCAAGGATGGAATTATTTGCTGAAAATACTCATGTGGGACCTTACAGAGAGCAGCCCCTCTCTCTGTCACCTGGAACCTCTATAACACCCAGCACATAGTAGGCACTCAATAAAATGTTATTAAAGAAATAATTGTTTCACTTGAAAGAATACTGAATTTGGAGTCAGAAGTCTCTGCACAAAGTCTCAGATTTGCCAATGACTAGCTCTTTAATCTTGAAGCCTCAGTTTCCTCATCTGTCAAATGGGGATTATGTTAGCTACTTGATAAGGCCATGATGAGGCTTGATTGAGACACAGTATGTGAAAAGCATTTTATAAACTAATTTTATATAATGTGAGACTGAAGGCTGTGCCTCCATCTCTGGGATTTTCTAGACCAATTCACATTTGTCATCCATGCATTAGATTCAGAAATTTCAATCTGAGCTTAAACATCAAAACTTACTTCACTTAAAAAAAAATCCTCCTCTCTAATTTGAATCATGGGAGAAGCATGAAGAGAATCAATTTTTATATGAAAATTGCTTTCGAAACTGCCGCAGCTTTGTTCTCAATCAGGAGTTCGTAACGATGCAACCCGACTTCTGTTTGTGTACTTGATTTGGTGCTGGTGTGTGTATGGCTGCATATATTTGATTTTTATGGTATTTTTTTATGTTTGCAAACAGCATTCTTTAACCTGAAATATCTCTCAGTTTAAATGCCGGTCGTTAAATACACAAAATGGCCAATCAATTTTTTTTGTGCACACGGTCAATCCGTGGTTTTGTGTGAATGCCGAGAGCCATCAGAGAGAAACAAAGGAGCAAAAGAGAAGCAGATGGGCTGGGGGGGGGGGCTTAAAGACTATCTTCAGGGCAGCCCCCTCATTTAGCAGGTGGGAAACTGAGGCTCAGTGAGGGAAAGGAGTTACTCCAGACCACACAGCTGGTGAGAAAGGAAGATCCCGGATGAAAACCAGGACTCCCGGCTCACCTGCTCCACGTGCCCGTCTGCGATGTCCGCTTGCTCCCCCAGGGACGTGAGCCGGCGTCTGGTGTGTGACAGAAAGACAGAAGCACTTATCCCCAACTTAGAGGAGGAAACCGGAAGGTTCCAAGCAGGCAGCCCCCGTGATGGTGGGTCCAGGCACCCACAAAGCAACATCTTTGTTTTATCTCGGGAAAATTCATAGGCAATTGACATTCCCATAACTGAGTATAGGAACATGCTCCCATCCAAAGGAGAAACAGAAAGTCAATCTTTTCTTTATCTCTGGCTTTGCATTATTTTTACCTTTGCATCTCTCCCTATAATGAAGCTCATCAAGCACAGGCTTTGGAGTCAGACAGACTCAGCTCCGGGACCTTGGCAAGCGGCTCCGTGTCTCTGAGCCTCAAGTTCTCCGTCCTTAAAATAAGAACGATAATACTTCCTTCAGAAGGTGGCTGTGAGAATTTAAAAGTGCCCTTTCTAGCAACCAGCTCAGAATGAAAAACTCGATAAACATTGGCCACCCCCCGGGCTGACTACCCCCTGTTTATAAAGTTTGGGAAAGAAAGTACCATATCCATTGCAAAGAACGATGCCACAAAGAACAAAATGGTGGGGAGAGAACAATAGCTCCCGGCAGGCACAGTGCCGGCGGTGGACCACGGCACCCACGATGTTCTGCGAGTGCTCCCCTACCCCATTCTCGTGTCTAAAAAAAAAAAATTTAATTCCATTTATTGGTCAACTTTTCCCATGAGAACACATCTTTAATTTAATCATGTAAATCAATGGGAAAATCTAATTCACTTTAGCGAAATTTGCTTCAAGGCTAGCCTTATGGGAATGAATCTGTTCCTTAAAGTGTATCCATGGCAAGTGACGTGTGTCTATATCACAGTTACAAAGGGATATAAATTAATCTCCAGCCCATTTCAGAAGATAGAGAGCTGATTAAATGAGCGGTAGCTCTAGTGATCCAAATGATCTGTCATTTTTAAACATCTCAGACACTGATTTTAATGCTAAATTTTAGCTTTTTACAATCGTAGATGCCATTTGCTTCCTTAGTATCCAATTTGCGTGATTATCACTGTATTAGTTCCAAATATATAATTTATTATCGTTCCTCTTTTGATTTTTCTGACGCTTGCTCCAGTCTGCCGGGCTTTGGTCTGTGGAGCGCGCCGTGGGCGGGGCAAGGGTGCCGCACGTCCAGCCCTGAGCGTTCCACGTTGCAGAAGGCACCGCTCTTGGCGCTGTGGCATCTTCCTCCCAGGGAAGCCACAGCCTGCCCAGCCTATGGCATGTTTGGGTGGATCAACTGAGAGGATGGATGTGGCAGTATCCAAACAGTCTGTTCTTACACGCAACAGTGAAAGCCAGGCAAGTCAATGGTTAGCTCCATCCCTAAATCTCCATTGAGGACCATTTCTGTGCCAAGCACTCTAGAAGTACAGAAATGGGGACCTCTAAGATTCTTCCCTAGCCTTAAGGAGCTCATCCTCTAGGACAGCAGACGGGCAAGTGAACAGTCGCTAATCACTCGGCACATGTGCTCTGATTGTGGGAGCCCAGAGAAGGCGTCCTTGACCCGCACTTGGAATGAAGGAGGGCTTCTCGGAGGAGGTGAGTCTTAAAGGCTGTATAGGAGTTACCCAGCCCGAATGCCAGGAGAGGGCATCAATTGAATGCAACATATTCGATTATACACGCCATCTATTATGCGCTAGGCCCTGAGGAATGCAAGGAAAGCCAAACAGGTATCTCTGCTACTGTGTCAGTCTGAGATCCCGTCAAGAAAATGGACCCACCAAGGCATGGTAGAGACAAAGGGCTTAATACAGGAATTAGGGTTTGCACATGTGTGGGAACGGCTGAGGGCGTGGAGGAATTGAAGGAAAGGAGCTGGAGGATCAGAGAAGCACACCCTAAAGGTTCCAGCCCCAAACGCTGGAACAGGAAGAGGAGCCAGAGTTCACAGGGAACTAAGGAGCCACCACCTCCAGGAGCCAAAGTGGGAACCCCAGGAGAAGAACTCCGGAAAGTTCTACTCATCTGCAAATTCTCACCTGGAACCCCGCAGAGAAAGGGATTCTGGGACACAGTTCCCAGCAGTGGGTGGGAATGGCAACGGGGCTGAGCTGATAGCAGACGTCCCTCACCCTCCCTCGGGGAGTCCCAGTCTAAGGGAAAGGTGGCATGAGTCAAATAATCACATCAGTGCACATACGAACTGCGGGAAGTGTTGGGGCTGTACATAATGGGGGCCTGACCCAGCCTGGGGAACCTGGGAAGTGGTCCCCTGGGAACTTGAAACTGGGCTGGGGTCCGACGGGCAGAGAGATGATGTAAACGGGCTCTAAATTACCTTGTGTCAACGCTAGTCCACCTACACAGATGGGCCTTCTTTCTGCTACCGTGGTTCATGGAAAGATCTGCCCACGTCTCCCCAGCAGCCCAGGAAAGGTTTACTGCTCTGGGGACCAAGGGTGAACCCAGCGTAAAGAAACATCCTGACCTCAGGAGTCATAAATAAAAGCCCTGAGCCAAGCCTCCGCGGGGGTCTCAGACAGCGAGGTCTCCATCCTCGGGCTCATACCTGAACTAAAGGACAGCCTAGGGCCCCAAGCTGACCTGGCCCCCGTGTCCCTCCCCTCCCAGCACTGCAGCAAATGGATGAAAAATTGTATCATTAAACTCTTTGATGTTCTCCTGTCTAATTGAACCTGTGAAATTTCCTAAGGTTCTCCAACCTCCAAAAATTCAATTTTCCATGTAATGCGTGGTGACGTGTCAATAAATCATGCTGTAAAATAAATGCGTGGATTCTTTTGTGCGGGAGCGAGTGAGGAATAAACCTTTCGTAATTGATAAATAATGTCATTGGAATCAATAGCTGGCAGAGGAGTTGGAGGAGTAAGCCTGAATCATGTATGAGTGCTCCGGGGTGATCAATGCCTCTTAAACAGCCAGGAGCTTGGGAGCCAAGTGTATAAATTACCGCCTTAATATTACAGCAGGGCCCAAAGTTTAAAGATGGGTACGTTGCTAAGCGCTGGTGAGACGGGAGGATGGTCTGGGGTATGGGTGGGGTGAGTTCTCTGACGGGCACTCTTTGGAGAGCATCTGGGGTCCCTACAGAAGGAAGATGAGGAGCAGATTGTGCAATCTGGGACTTGGGATGGAGACAGCACGATTCCAGCGCTGGCCGGTCTTGCCAGCAGCCCGTGTTGGCGGCAAGAGCAGCTAGTACTACGGGACCACAGATGCTACATAGGGAAATGTCCTCACTGCCCTCAGAGGCCTCGACACTGACATACAGGGTGAAAGATCGGCCTGGCAGTCACTGAATAGGCTCCGAGTGACAGCCACGGACCAAGGGGAAATGAGCCCGGCTTAAGAGGCAGACTGCTCAGCCCTGCCACCAGCTGTGTGACTCTAAGCAAGTTGCTTAACCTTCCTGTGCTCCATTCTTCTCCTTTGCAAAATAGAGGGTAATAATGCCAACCTCACTAACTCTTGAGGGTGAGATGCAGTCACATTTGTAAATATCTCAGCTCAGCTTCTTTCCCGACTAAATATTAAGCAAGTTGGAGCTATAGTGCTTTATTGATTGCATGTTGTTTCTGCACTACCCTGGGCACTTTCCCTGGATTTATCTTAGTCAATCCTCACAGCAACCCCATAGGGTAGTTACTATTATTGTCCCCATTTCATGGATGAGGAAACTGAGGCTCAGAGGTGAACACCTTGCCCAAATCACATTGCTGTAGTTGACAGAGCCAAGAGTTGAACACAGGTAGGTCAAGTCCAGGGCTGTTTCTTAGCCATGAAACTACACTGTAACACTGCTCTTGCCCTGAGCCCCCCAGCCCTGTGGAGGGCTGTGTTGGCTGGGCACCCACCATGGTGGTCTTCGGGGGCATCCCATCTGACTCACAGGTGGCCCACGAGAGGGGAGAGAGCGGAGAGACAGCAGTGGGTTCTGGTCCAGCTCCACTACGGGTACCTTTGGGGTCCTCATTCCTGCTGGCTAAGCCGTGGTACCGACGTCATCAGTAACATCAGAGTGATCACACCTGTCCCTCAAGGTCATCTGCAAAGCACAATGCCAAGAGCGGCACAGGAGCGGCACAGGTGGCAGAGGCTGGCAATGGGGCGAGCTCTGCAGTGAGCCTGGGCAGGATCCTGGCTCAGCTCTGCCCGGCTGTGTGCTCTGGGGCTCGAAGGTCCTGCCTGAGTCTGACTCCTCATCTCTAAAACGTGAACCACGACACCAGCCTCCAAGAACTCAGCTGAGAATTAGATGAGATGGTCAATGTAAATCACCTTCCCGGCCAGTGCCTGCACCTGGTTCTCTCTAACCTCCTTTTCCTCCCAAGGGAATTCAGAAGGCGTCCCAGCGGATCGTGCGCACAACTCCTGGGTGCCATTCACATCTATTGTTCACAACTGGATGCAGCAGACAGGGACGATCCAAAGTAAGTGTTGAGCAAATTTTTGCATTTGGCTTGAAGTCTCTTCCTGCAAAAAGCCCATTGCTAAGCACCACACATTCTCGTTAGAAGGTCAGCTTTGTGAGGACGGATATCTTGTATCTTAGGTTGGTCAGGTTTCCCCAGATGCAAACCTTAAGACTCGGATTTGAGTGCAAATAGTTGATTTAGGAAGCAATCCCAGCAAGCACCCACAGTGGGATGGAGCAATGTCACAGGGATAGAAAGACAGGATGGGTGTTCTGACAAACAGGTGTCCACTGGGGGCCACCGGGGCTCAACCCCTGGGGGCCTCAGCAAGACAGTGTTGGACATGCTGCAGAGTGGCCCGCACGATGGGAGAGGAAGCTAGAGTACTTACACGGCAGCGCCCACCTGTCGTTGCTGACTCCCAGCATTGCCAGCCCACGCCGCACGTGGGCAAGTTCTCCAGCAGCCGGCGAAACCCCTCAGGTAGAATTTCACAGGTGCTTGCCATAGAAAGCTGTCTCGTACAGGAGCAGTGAGAGCCACTGTGAGTGGAGCATGCACCACACCTTACTTGTCTCTAAACCCCTGAGACCCTGTCAGTGCCTGGCCCAGTGCTCGCTTCATGATGGAATGAATGAATGAATGAATGAGAAGTGGTACGCTGGGTCAGAGCTGTTGTACTTTGGTGAAAAGCAAATTCTGAAACTTCTACTTCAAAAGCTTAGGAGCAGCAGGCTGCCCGGGCGGCACATGAGAGCGTGTTTCCTCCTCCTGGGCTGGAACCACCCCCAGCGTAGCATCCTGTGTCCGCTGGGCCAAGCAGTTCAGAGACTCACACATAGAGCCAGTGGGAAGCCACTGGACGAGAATTCTTCTTTCTTCCCTGGTGGGCTATTGTGAAAGGGTCTAGGAAGCTCCAGAGGGCAGCGGGAGCCTCTGTCTTTACAGCCTACCATCTGCATTTAACACGGAGCCTGGAATATCACAGGCACCCAGCACACGTCTGCGAGACCAAGTGCGACTCGTGGGAGGTAAAAAGAGATGGATTTCAGTTCAACCACAGAATGACTTTCTAGCTCTTCGTAACAAAATGTGTTGTTCATTCACTTGGCAAACATCTGTTTAGGACCCCACGTGCCAGGCTGAGCTAGGCGATGGGGCATAGGGACGAATAAGACAGAGGCCTTGACCTTGAAGTCAGGTGTTGTGTCGCATACATCAAATAATAATCAGGGCGCAGCAGCACATGTGCTATAACACGAGTACACAAGGGAAGATTGTGGGAGCCCAGGAGGGAAAGATGGATCGTCCAATTGGGGGTTGGTTGAAAACATTTTTATACATTTGTTTATTTACTTCTCCCCTGTGCCACATTCTGGACAAAATGGGCAATCTCCCCGTGTCATAGGGGTTTATCAAGAAAGCACCTATTTTTTAGTCTTTAGACACATACAAAACACCATCTGTGCCCTGGCTCGGGTCAGTGACTAGAGCTGCACCCTCCCACCATAGCCTCTGGCAAGTGGTCAATTTTCGCTCACTCTTCAAAGCTCAGTTCAGGTATCAGCAGCTCCAACAAGCCCTCCTGGCCCCTTGGGGCTGGACTAACTGCCCCTCCTTTGTGTTTACCCAATCTCCATACCCGTCACACAGTATTATTCACTTTTCTCTCTCTCTGATCAGTTGGGATTAGATTGTGAACAGCATGACAGAGCCTTAGAAAAGGTGTGTGCGTAAGTATATGTCCCTCCTACATACACTAAGCTCAAAGGCAGGTGGTCAAGGTGGGTTTGTTGTTGCTCCAATCCCCTGGACCCAAGGTCCTGCCAGGCCCCTACTCTGCCTTTCCCAAAGCGTGGCCTTCATCTTCACGTCTTGGACAAAAACTGCTCATCCAAACCCCACCATCGTCTTCCTGAACACACCGCTGACATTTCCCAGCTCAACTCCCTTGCGGTTGGGTGCAGCCAGAGGAATGGGTTCTGGCCAGTGGAATATAGACAGAATGTCCCTGCCAGGCCCGGCCCAGTCTTCCCCTGTCTTTCTCTCTCTGCCTGTTGAACCAAGAGGATTCCGAGGACCTAGAAGAGGCAGAGTCATAAGATGGAAGGGGCTTGTGTCCCTGGGTCACCACCAGACCAAGAACACCTGTGACGGACTATTACACAGCTAAGAACGAATTTTGTTGTGTTGTACTGTTTATAGTAGTGACTTACTAAGATGGACATGGAGTGGCACCTACCAGATCCCCCTCAAAAAAAAAAAAATCATCGCCACAATTTCTGGGAGTGCCGTCAGCACACAGCCTCCAAGTGTCCCCATCAAGGACTGTTTCAGCTGCAAAGAGAGACGTCACCCAAGGTCATGCCCCTCCTGGAGCAGCCCCCATCCCAGTATTGAAGCCAAAGAATAGAGAAGCATACAGGCCCACCTGCATCAAACTGCGTCACAACTGGCCCCTCCCTTTGCCCAGTCCTGCTTCATCCCTCTCCCTTCCTCAGGGATGGATCTCAGCAGCACCCCCAGTAAACCTC